ACACAACCCTGGACAGCTAATGCCCAGACTATTGCATGAGAAAAATCAACCATTATCTTGTGTATGTCATTATTATTTGGGGTCTATTACAGTAGCACATGCTATATCCTAACCAAAACAGCCATGTCCAGAAAGTCTTTCCTGGACCAAAAATGTTGACTTTTTAGTTGCTAACAAGTGGTTCAAGTTTGGCCTGGTGATTCTGCCTGCCAAGTGCCATTTCAGTTTCAGAGCAGAGTTGTTTCTGTGCAGTGAATGCTTGTGCGTGCCAATATCACAGTACCTGCTTCCCTTTTGCAACACAGAGATGTAGAAATTGGAAAAATGAAAGTGCTATTTACTAGTGTTGCATTGAGAAGTAGTCTCATCACTGTATTAAAAAGACAAGGGTAGACAGAAATCATCAACAACTCTTCAGGTGCTCACTGGACTTGGACAGGCATACCATGGGTTTAAGTGTGGCAAGAAGAAAGATGAGGTACAAATCCCTGAAAGCACATCAGGTGAAGTAGATATGATTCAGAATTTCACATAAACACTTAGAGCAACAGAATCCACCCACTCCACCTACAACTGTGGTTTGCCATTCAGCCACTGGACTTTTCTGTACATTTGGTGTGAAAGTGGGATGTTGCCTGGACTCTCTTACTGAGTTTCTCACCATCTTGACTGTATTCAATACATTTGTGTGTATTTCTCACTTCCTCTTCTAATCGGCTGAGACACTTGGCGACTTCTGATCATATGAAATTGCCACTGCGTGACCATTTTTGACCTACAAAATCCAACAATTTTGTTACACTCTAATGAATTAAAAGTTCTTGGGATTGATGCTCACTTTAATCATCTTCACATGTCTCACAATGCCTTCTACATGGAAGAGTATCTGTAAGAAATTGATGGGATTAACTTTTATAGATTTTCTAGTTCCACCAGACAACATTATCCTACCTTACGTTTTATCCTTTTAATGCTAAAATAAAATTTTTTTTAAAAAAATCTCTCCCTTGCTCCTTCCTCTTTTACTCCTTCCCCTTCCAGTAGTAACTTATATTCCTCCCTAACATTGGGTATGCCCAAGCCTTGGGTCCTGATTTTAGCTCTTTGTTTCTTCTCTTTCTCTTCTCTGAGTTCATATAGTTTCATATCTACCATAATCAGTTTATACTGAAGACTATGCTGCTATTTTCAATGATAACCTCTTATTTCAGAAGTACAACCTTCCATATGGATGTCTGAGGACCTCCCACTGCCCCAAAGCCAACATGTCCAAAGTCGGCTCACCATGCACAAGAGGTCTTTCCTGAACATTCTACTTTTATCATAGATGGCATAATTCTTCTAGGTTGCCAAGTTAGAGATACTGGTCACCTCCGGCCATTACAGTTCTTTACCCAAACAGTTATCCAGTCCTGTTCAGTTTCTAGAATATTTCTTGAATATATTCCTTCCCCTTGATTCCTTTTTGCTATCACACTGTGCCCCCCAAACCTCTATCTTGGCCTTCTCTGACATAAAAATGCATTCTTCTACATCTTCGTCATGTAGCTGTCCCCATGCAAGAACTCAGAGAGCTCACTACCACACCATCATATCAAATATGAACTCCTCTGCTTGACTGTCAAAGAGCTAATATTTGGTGTCTACTTATCTAACCTTATCTTCCACTGCTTTTGAAAAATATCTGTGTTCTCAAAATATTTTGCTCACACTTCTATTAAAGGCCTTTTCACATTATATTGTCTACATGTCTCCTCTGTAAGCCAAGATTCTAGAGCTTAATCCCCATAGGAATCAGAATAGAGCTCAGTACCCAGTAGGTATTTATAGAGGATCATTGAATAAGTAAATTGTTACTCAGGATAAGATCAGACAGGAAGTTATTAAAGTAAATTAGCCATAATGTGACAGCAAAAGGACTGCAGAAGTCTCCCTCTTACAAGTTGTTTTAACACCTTGTACTTCAGTTTCGTGACACTTACTTCAACTCATCTAACTGTACATTTGTTTAATGCCTGCTTCCTCATTCTACTGTTAAGGACCGTGTGGAAGACTCAGTGGGTTATTCACTGCTGTAACTCAGCAGTCTGGCCTAAGGGAGTTCAAGGAATGTGTAATGGACATCAGTTGAATGAATGTATTAGAATCTCCCTTTAATTGAAGCTGGAGTCCTTACTGGTCCCTATATCCCCATTTACCACAAACATTCCTTCTTCCTTTCACCTGTAATACTGTTCTCTACTACACAAATCTTTAAAGCCTAACCTAAAATCTCACTTGCTTCTAGAAAACTCTCCTATTCTAGACCCTTTATCTAACTCTGACAATTTATCCCTGACCTCTTATCACATCTATATTCTACAGAAAACCAATGATCTGTGAGATCATTAACCTTATCCTTTAATTGCTTCCTGTATTAAAAAAAAATATATTTTCTCTATAAGAACTGGCCCCCTCTGGATACAAACAATAAACTTATCTTATATCTTCCAATACCTGTACAATATGAAGCATATAACTGACCCTCAATAACTACTGCTGACCCTCAATATATGGGGGGAATGAGGCCATATATTTATCAGGAAAACCATTCTTCCAGCCTATTCTTTGTTGTTTTAATTAAATCTTTATTGTTGAAAGGATTGCTTATGTCTCCTTTTTTTTCCCCATTGACCCCTACTAACCCACCCTCACTCCCACCCACTAACACCTTATTCTTTATATGTGATCTTAATCAGCATTCAGATTATTTAGAGAGTAACATGTCTCTGTACCTTAATTTGTAGTCAATATACCCATTAAGCAGAGAATATGATATACTGGTAAAAATAAAATTACATTTTAAACTTAGGAGCAGGTTATTAACAGGATAAATCCAACTTTGAATCATTTTTCTTAAAGCAAATGATTTCTACACCAAATCTTCATTTATCACATACTAAAATAACATTTTATTCTCTCAGGACTGCTTATCATAAAGAGAACAGGACTTGGGAAAGATAAGGGAGTCTGAGGATAAAACATCTGGAGGAAATTCTCATTCTGGCTAAACTGAGAGTGTCACATGTTCTCCTCATTCTTAGCCTCATATCATTGCTCAGAGCTGGCTTGTAAAGGATATTTGTTTCCCAAATTATTAAGGCAATAAAAATAGAAAACAGGAGAAGACATATTTGGCATTAATTCTTAAATTCATTCATTCATTTACTCATCCAATAATATTTAGTGAGCATCAGTCTTATACCTCATATTATGCCAGACACTGTGGAAGACTGAAAGATGAATTAGGAAAGTTTATTCAGATCACAAAGAGAAAATAATATAAGACAGGCAGTGCTTAAGTGTCTAAATTAAAGAACAAATAAAATGCTGTACAAAGAGGAAGAACATTCTTTTATTCTGGGAGAGTTAGGAAAGTTTCTTAGAATAAGTTGCATCGAGATGGACCTTAAAATATGGGTATGGCTTAGACATGCAGAGATGTGAAGAATGGGCACACAGGCTCAAATAAAGGGATAAGCAAAGGCTCACTGGAGTTAATATTCTGCTTGGCAAAGGTACTGTGGAGCAGAAACAGGAAATAAGGTTGGGCCAGATGTAGAGGGGTTTGAGAACCAAGCCAAGGAGTGTGTGTTCACCTTTGTGAATAGAGCAGCAATTCTCAAATTTTTATGTGCACACAAATCACCTGAGGATCTTGTTATAGTAGATCTGGGGTGGGACCTGGGATTCTATATTTCCAACATCCTAAGTGGTGCTGATATTGGAAGACCAAACCTTGAATGTATAGATACATAGACAGTGGGGAGCCACTGCACAGAGAAACTGCCTGATCTCCAGTGTGTTCCGGGAAAACTAAATCTGAAAACAGTGGGTCAGGCAGATTGGAAAGGAGAGAAACTATAGACTGTGGTCTTCAGCGCTGGTCGTCCATTGGATCAGCTGGGAAGCTTACACCAAGGCCCTCCTTCCAGAGATTCTTATTTAATTGGTCTGGAGTGGGGCCCAGATTTCAGCATTTTTAAAAGTTCTCCAGGGAATTCTAATGTGCAGTTGGGGCTGAGAACCTTTACTATAGATGATACAGTGAATATTGCAATCGTTCAGGCAAAGATGATGATTTAAACTAGGGCAATGGCAGTGAGGATAGAGTGGAGGGGTCAGTGGTATAAATGTGGAAGAAATAGACTTTAGCAACTATCTGGGCAGCAATATAGAAGAATGGCTGCAACATCATTCATTTCTTCTCGTTAAAGACAGTTTAGTGAAATGGTTAAGAGTACAGGCTTTAGAAGCAGACATGCTGGGTTTAACTTCCAGCTCTATTTGTTAGGGGTGTGTGTGTGTGTGTGTGTGTGTGTGTGTGTGTGTGTGTGTGTGTATTTACTGGGCGCATTCCTTACCCTTTTAATGACTTAATTTTTTCACCTATAAATTGGGGATATAACAATAACCTGCATATGGAGTTGCTGTGGAGATTAAGTGCATTAACATATATGCAAAGCCTTTAGAACCATGCTTGGCACATAGGAAGAGCTTTGAAAATGTGTGTTGTTATTATTAGCAATAGAGGCCTGATGCACAAAATTCATTCAAGAGTAGGCCTTTCTTCCCCTGCCGGCCAGCACCAGCTTCCTTCTGGCACCCGGGACTCGGGCTTCCCTCTGGCTGCCACCTGAGACCCAGGCTTTCCTCTGGCCACCAGCAGGCACCTGGGCTTCCCTCGAAGACCCAGCTTCATCCAGAAAGTCGCCCGGAAGGATGTCCAATCTAATTAGCATATTATGCTTTTATTATTATAGATGGTTCATCATCTATTCTGATCTCTCCAGGGTGTTGAGCTGCATGTAAGGCTGATCTGGAAGAGGAAAAGTCCTTGAAGGCTCTCAACCCTCAGCCAATTTGAAGTCATAGGGTTACCTGTTTCATAAAACCCTGCCTCCCTACATCCCAGACCCCATTCCCAAGGTCTCTAAAAGTAACAGCCAAGGAGTTCCTACTTGAATTGCTGGTCCTTGGTGCTGCGTGTCTTGGCCAGGAAGCGCTCTGCCAGCTTTTCCAGGTTGCGGGAGTAATCCATCTCAATCTCAGCCTTCTTCCGGAAGAAGTCCTGGAGGTCCTGCAACAGCTGCACCCGGAGCTCACACTGCTGGTCCAGACATTTCATCTGCTCTGTGAGCTGAGCGCGGATCTCTGCAACAACAAAAGACAAGATAATCATATAGAGATCCCTAAAGGGAACCATACAGGACAAGATTTACCCCTTCCTTGTACTTGATACCTGTCCTGGGGGGTTTGGGGGTGGGGAGGAGAATGAGGAGGAGGAGGAGGAGGAGGAGGAGGAGGAGGAGGAGGAGGAGGAGGAATAGGAGACTATTGAAAAACACTGGAACCAAAAACCTGCTGAATCATTTAAGAGAACATGATTATTAGATATAATGATATTCACAGCTACCATTTATTAAGCAATTTACTGTGTTTAGAGAATTTAGGCTCTCTTCTGGCAAAAAGCCTAATGAATTTTCTCCCAACCATTCTGTTGGGTAGGTACTACTTTCACCCCCATTTTAAGATGAGAAAACTGATTCTTAAAAGGAGTCAAGTGATTAGATTCAAACCCAGACAAATTGACTTTAGAGCCCAAGTTCTTACTTGTTATACTTTTCCTGCATCTTTGTGAATTAGAGTGAGAGATCAGGATATTTTAATAGAGATAGAAAGGGCCCTGCCCAAGGTCAAATAGTGGCAATCAAGAATGAAACAAGCACCAGGTCTTCTAGGCAAGTAAACCATCTCCTGTCAAACAGATGCCATAGTTTCCAATATCACAGAATGTAAATCAGCCTTCAAGAAGTTGATATTTTTCATCAACAAATATCACTCATATATCTGTTGTTTCACCCCCACTGATGCTCAGAACTCCTGCTTCATCAAAGCTAGAAATATTCTGGGTAAGCTCCAGCTTGGCAGATTTCTGCCTGGCCAGACTCCTCGTACAGGGCTAACAAACACCCTCTCTGGAACTGCAGCAATGATTGCTCCAGCTGCAACGAGATCTGCCTCAAATGCAATACTGCATTTGTTACTGACAGGAGACCTGGCACCCAAAGGAAGCAGCTTGCCAAAACCAGACTGCTTGTCAGCTCAGAAAAGGCCTGCAGTGCGGATCCTGCTGAAGTTATGTCCCAATCCCCATCTGAGTAAATAACAATGGAGCCATTTCTTTCATCCCTTTGCCCTCCAAGCCTGCTCAGCTCAGTGCATTAGGATGTTACAGTCACTCCAACCCCAGGAAAAAAAGAATACCCGTATTACTATGCCTTTCCTTATGCCCCAAAATTCATTCCCAGATAGTAGAGCTGTAACAATGTTTTCTGTCTATGCTGTGTAATGCACGGAGCAGGAGGATCTACAGTTTTCATCTGAGCTGTGGATAAATCAGAGGCAATCTAGGATCAGGGCTATGATGTTGAAAGGGACACCAAGCACTCCTTTAATGAAGCATTGAGGAATGGGTAAATGGTGCATTTAGCTTTCCCAAAAGTAGGTAGAGGTTCATAACCTATCTCCAGCTTCATTTTGTTACTCTTTTCATAGATACTAGGATGTAGCAAAAGTATCTGATCCTTTATGGGTCATCTTAAGTGATCTGCAAGTGCCATTCTCACCTTCTTCGTCCATACGCCTCCCCCTTGCCAACCAGATCTGCTGTAACCTCACCTGAACTGAAACTGAGCACCGTAGTATTGTTTCAGGCAGACAGAAAGCTGTGCAGAAAAGCCACGTACCTCATCACTCATCAAAGCTCTCTTGTTCTGTGTTTTTATGGGAGTCTGATTACAAGAGTGTTGAGGGGGACGATTTGCAGAGGGCATGTCAGGTATACGGATCTTGCCAGAGATTTCTGGGCCTCTTTTTTTTTTTTTTTTTTTTAAAGAAACTGCTTTTTGTTTGTTTGTTTATTTATTTATTTGTTTGTTTGTTTGTTTATTTTAGAAACTGCTTTTTAAAATATATATTTAAGATTAACATTTATTTATTTATTTTGTTAATTCTCACCCGAGGATATTTTTCCATTGATTTTTAGAGAGACTGGAAGGGAGGGAGTGGGACACACAGAGAGAAACATCAATGTAAGAAAGACACAGCCATTGGTTGCCTTCCACATAGGCCCCGACTAGGGCTGAAATTGAGCTTGCAACCAAGGTACATGAAATTGAATCTGGGACCCTTCAATCTGAAGGCTGATGCTCTATCCACTGAGCCAAACCAGCTAGGGAAATTTCTGGGCCTCTCAAAGGCAACAGCCCTTTCCTACAGGCACCTGTACCCTTCCGTCTATTGACAGATAGAGGTTGTAGTCATTGGGTGGGCAGAGAGGACCCAATTGATATTATTTTCAACTGATCCATTGAATAAGAATCAGGGTGAAAAGGTATCTTTTCGGATGAAAAGGTACCCCATCAGTACCAGATGTGGAAGAGGATATGGATGGGCGATGGGGCTATCAGGGCCTTTGGAATCACCTGTAATTCATTTAAGACTTTGCACCAATAACCTCACTAACCATGGAAGTGGAAAGAAACATGGTAGCATGGAGATGCCCACCCTCCATCACAGAAAGAGGGTGCTAGGCAAATTCCCTTGATATCCATGAAATTCCAGAGGTAGGCCACTCTAAGGCTGTCCTATGCAAGGAACCAGCACTTCAGAGGAGGCCTCTGAGATTTGTGAGTCAATTTAAGAAGCACCCCCTTTCCCCCACCCAAGCACATACAACCAGCACAGCATTCCACCCTGACTTTCTCAAGTGCCTCAAAAAGTGAGCAGCAAAACCCAAAGTGATCCTACTCTATACCAGCGGACACCAACCAATGGTCCGCAGACCCTGGTGGTCCATGAGGCCCAAAAGGTTGGCGACCACTGCGTCTAGTCCAAACATGGCTCTAAGGGCCTAAATCGCTCATCAGCTAGAAGATGGAGAAGGGGACATTCTAAGGGTGGGAGCCAAAAATTACCCATCAGGCATCCTTCCAGGCCCAGAAAGGGAATATGTAGGTATTCACGGAGCACCCTTTATATAGATCATCTCATTTAATCTTCATAACTAGGCCCAACATAATCCCCAATTATCCTCATTGCACAGATGAGAAAACTGAAGTGAGACTCGAAGTAATTTACAGAAAGGTCATACAATTAGGTGCAGGTGGGTTGAAGCTAAATTAAGGTTTGTCTGACTTAAAGAAATTAATCCTGGGGTAAGGAGTCAAAAAGAACATAATGTGAGTCTGAGTAGCTTAAAGTATTTCAGCGTAAATCACGGTTTCCATAGCTCTGACCCTGGAACATTCCCTCCCCTGCTTTCCAGTTGACAGGTGATTCAGTCAGTGACAGAAGTGGAAGAGAATGTGGAGGGCAATGGGGCTATTGCAGAGTCAAGTATGCACTAGCCCACTGACTCACTAACTGAACCACATTTTGTTTTGGTCAGTCCCTAAGAGGGCTGGATCCTTCCCTGCTTCCTGAATCTACTCAGGGGCAGCTTTGGAGGAAGCGTTTTGCTTGTCCTGTGAGCTCATCCTGAGGTCTGCCAGAAAGTCCAGGAGGCAGAGAAAGTGAGAAAGCAATATCCCCATCCCTGAACCAGGAAAAGAAGAATGCATCTCTGCTAACAGATACCATCTGCCACTGGAGTAGATCTGCGATTTGACACCACTGAGCACCTCCCTCCCCCACAACCTGCCTAGAAAGAGAGACCTTCCTGGCTTCCATTCTCAGAGCACCCACCCAGACATTTAAGGGAGACTACAACCACCCCCATCTCCAGGCTGCAGCCCCAAGGCAGAATAGCTGCTCTGTCCAAGGTAAAATGTGCTGCTTCAGGTTTTTGCTGCCACTGCAAAGACAAACAATGGTACCCAAGAAGGCAGCTGTGCCAGCCCCAGGCATCTGGCCATGCACATAAGGGGCAGGAAACAATAGGCCACTGAATGCCAGCACGCCTGGGCCATGTGCCCAGACTGGAGGCCTCTCTGCACCCTGACCTACCCACAAACTATAAGGGCAGAAAGAAGAAAGGGGCAATTTATAAAAACATGAAGGAATCCCCCACAGTTCCATCGTGTGCTCAGGCAAGTATGCACATACACACGTGTGTACTCTCAAAGACACGCACACTCACACCACCCACACTATGTTCCACTATTACAACTCAAAAAGGCTTTACAAATCTAGTAATAGCTGGATGAGAGTTCCTGGGAGGGGTGATGGGGTCCTTACCAGTTCTGTCCTAGAACTATTATACATGGGAAGAAGTCAAGCTCTCGGTTTCCAGAAGCAGCTATATCTCAGGGCATGAATGAAGCCAAAGTACAAAGGTCACCTCAGCTACCTGGAGTGATCAGGGACCTGCCACACCAACAATGTAGACACTAAATTATAAAACATGACAAAAATGGCCTCCCCTGGGCACCTAATACAGCCCATTTATTCAGCAACTCTTTGCTGAGCCCCTACTGTATAGCAATCCCTGTGTTAGATGATGGTGATGGAAAACAAAGCAGGCCCACACTCTGTCCTAACGAAGCATGGCTTGAGAAAGAAAAGAAAAGAAAGTAAAGACAGTCTTACTGCTTCTGTTCTGAATATTCTTTATTATAACACAACCATGGTACTAATTTCCAACCTGAAAACCAAAGATTTATAAATCATCAACAGCAGACAAAAGAAAACAAGCAACAACCCTAATAAAAATTCAATGTCCTGACTTTTTTTCCATTGCATTTTTTAAAAAAGTGACCCTTGAATAAAAACTGCAGCTTCCCTTGCAAACAACTTTTCTTGAGTTTCAGAGCTGACCTTTGGTTGATATTTCATCCAAGATTCAAGTCAAAATTTAACTCACTGTTCTGGAATTAGACAGTGGTGATAGTTACACAACCTTCTGAATATACTTTTTTAATCCCACTGAATTTTTTTTTGACATGTGAATTATATTTCATTTAAAAATTTCAACCTAACCAAATAGCATGTTCTGTGGAGCACTGTACTTCCAGCTAACAGGCACCAAAAGGAGGGAGGAATTCTTGGTTTCCATTTCTCCATTTGTATGAGTTGATTCTCAGTTCTGCATTGAATATTCTTAAAGCTGCTCCTCTGGACAGCAAGCTTGGCCATAACATTGAAATCCATTG